ATCACACTTGGACAGCCTAATATCACTCCTCACTATACTAGAAAACATGAGCAAACCAAACCCAAAGCTAGCAGAAGAAAGAAATAATGAAGATGAGAATAGAACTAAAGGAAATTGAAACCAAAAACAAACAAAAACAAAGGATCAATAAAACAAAAAGTTGGTTCTTTGAAAAAACAAACAAAATTGACAGACCACTAGCTAGATTAATTAATAAATGAAGAGAGAAGATTCAAAATAGCTCAATCAGAAATGAAAATGGAGACATTACAACTACTACCACAGAAATACAAAAGAGTGTACAAGATTATTATGGGCACCTCCATGGAAACAACTAGACAATCTAGAGGAAAAGGATAAATTGTTGGAAACAGCCAACCCCCCACCTTGAGTCAGGAAGAAATAGAAATCCTGAACAGACCAATAACAATTAGTGAGATTGAAACAGCAATTAAAATTTTCCCAAGAAAAAAAAGTTCAGGACCTGGAGGACTCACAACTGAATTCTACCAGACTGTCAAAGAACCGGTACCAATTTTACTGAAACTATTATATAAGATTGAAAAAGAGGGAATTCTTTCTAACTAATTCTATGAAGCCAGCATCACCCTGATATCAAAGCCAGGAAAAGATTAAACAAAAAATAAAACTACAGATCAATATCCATGATGAACATAAATGCAAAAATCTTCAACAAAATACTAGTAATGAATTCAACAGCACATTAAAAACAACAACAATGATGACGACGCCATGATCAAGTGGATTTTATCCCCAGGATGCAAGGATGATTCAACATACACAAGTCAATAAACACGATCCACCATGTAAACAGAATTAAAAACAGAACTCATGTGATCATTTCAATAGATGTAGAAAAAGCATTTGATAAAATTCAGCATACCCTTCATGATTAAAAAAATCCCTTAGCAAAATAGGCATAGAAGGAACATTTCTCAGAATAATAAAAGCCATATTCACCAAATGTCATCCTGAATGGAGAAGAGTTGAATGCATTCCACCTCAGAACTAGAAAAATGCAAAGATGCTCATTTCACTCCTGTTAAACACTGGAAGGCCTAGCCAGAGCAAACAGGCAAGATAAACAAAGTGTATTCAAATTGGAAAATAAATCAAACCATGTCTGTATGCCAATGATATGATCTTACACCTAGAAATCCTAAAGATTCTCAAAGACTCTGGACTTGACAAATAAATTCAGTAAAGTTTCAGGATATATAATCAACACACACAAATCAGTAGCACTACTATACACCAACAACAACCAAGCTGATAATCAATTTAAGAATTCAGTTCCATTTATAATAGCAGCCAAAAAGCTAAATACCTAGGAATTTATTTAACCAAAAAGATGAAAAATCTCCAATTTGAATACACTTTGTTTAATAGCAACCAAAAAGCTAAATACCTAGGAATTTATTTAACCAAAAAGATGAAAAATCTCTAAAAGGAGAAGTACAAAACACCAATGAAAGAAATTGTAGAGGACAAAAACAAATGGAAAAAACATTCCATGCTCATGGATTGGAAGAACCAATATGGTTAAAATGACCATATTACCCCAAATAATCTACAGCAACACAATCCCTATCAAACTACCATGTCATTTTTCACAGAATTAGAAAAAACAATTTTGAAATTTATATGGAACCAAAAAAGAGACAGAATAGTCAAAGCAATCCTCATCAAAAAGAATAAAGTTGGAAGCACCACATTACCTGGCTTCAAATTATACTATAAGGTTGTAGTAACCAAAACAGAATGGTACTGGTACAAGAGCAGACACATGGACCATGGAACAGAATAGAGAATCCAGAAATAACCCCGAATACTGACAACAACTGATTTTTGACAGAGCAGACAAAAACATGCACTGGGGAAAGGACACCCTATTCAACCTAGCAATCCCACTGCTGGGTATCTACCCAAAGGAACAGAGAATGTTATATAAAAAAGACATCTGCACTCAGATGCTAACTGCAGCACAATTCACAATTGCAAAGATGTGAAATCAACCTAAATGTCCATCAAGTGATCAGTGGATAATGAAAATGTGGTATATATACCGTGGAATACGATTCATCCATAAAAAAGAATGAAATAATATCTTTTGCAATAACTTGAATGGAACTGGAGAACATCCTAATTAAACTAACGCAGGGACAGAAAACAAAGCACTGAATGTTCTCAGTTATAAATGGGAACTAAACTAAGGATCTGCAAAGGCATATAAAATGTTATAATAGACACTGGAGGCCAAAAGGGGGATGGAGGGATGAAAAATCACCTGTCAAATACAGTGTACACAGGTGAAGATGGTGGGTACACTTAAAGCCCAGACTTCTTTGCCACAGTACAATACAGTTATGTAACCAAAAACTATTTGTGCCCCCTAAAGTTATTGAAATAAAAAAGAAAAAAAAATAAATAAATAAAGAGAGAAAGAGAATAGCCAATCTGACTGCTGTGAGATGGTATCTCGTATGTTTGTTGGCAATTGTATGTCTTCTTTTGAGAAGTGTCTGTTCATGTTCTTTGCCCACTTTTTAATGTGGTTGTTTTTCTTCTGCTGACTTAAGTTCCTTATAGATTCTGGATATTAATCCTAAGTCTTGTTCCTGCCATACTAGCACTTTAGCCTGTTTGAAAGCTTCCTGCTGAGAGATGTATTCAAGTCCTAACGTCCAAGTCCAAGTCCAACTCCTTCTAATAAGTCTATAGAATGGTCTCACATTGAGGTAAGTGTGGGATCAGTGCTTTCCTATATATCTACTCAGCCCAGAACAGCTTTCTTATAATTCACGTGTTTGCTAGAGTGGCATTTTTATTTCCTTCAAGAACTTTTCCATTGCATTCGCAATTTGGCTGTTTGGCACAAGAGGCCCAGCTTTCAGCCTATCTCAGCCCACCAAACTTAACCTACTTTGCTTGCTTCTGGTTAATCTTAAAACCTATATAGTTATAGTCATGTGGCTAAGCAATTCACTAGCTTTCTTATAGACATCATCTCTGACATATAGGTCACTATGGTAACGGTTGCTTAAAGCTGGTTTTCAGGGATTTGGGGCTAGTGCTTATCCAGCTCAAGCCTATTGAAACCATTGGCCTTTCAACTAAGCCTGTGTGAATGCCCAAGAGATGACTTTTTGATGTCAGAGGGCCAAAACCTTCTCCCTCAGATCATGCTAATGCCACCATCTTCTGAACACGCATCCTATGAAGAACCATGATGATTGGCACTTTTCCCCACTGCCAATCATCTCTCCCATGCCTTACACTACCACACTTCTCTATCCCATAAACATTTCTGAGTCCTATTTTTGTGGAGGTGGCTTTGAGACTGGTCCTTTTCCCTGCTCCTTGCTTGGCTTCCTTGGGAATAAATGTTTTCTCTGCTACAAAACCCATCCTCACAGTAATTGGCTTACTGCAAATGGGGCAGAACAGGCCTGGTTCAGTATCACTAGTTTTTTTTAAAGTAAGAAACGTGCTACTCTTCCTTTCACTTGTGCTCTTAGAGGCCATTGTAGGGTTGTTATCTGGCCTAATTTCAATACTGTTGTGTTTCGGGGAATATGGAGGCCCCAAAAGGGAGAGAAACAGGGGAATGGCTGGTTGGCAGAGCAGTCAGAACACACACAGCATTTATTGATTAAGTTCACCCTGTTATATGGGAGCAGTTAATGGTGCCCCAAAACAATTACAACAGTAACATCAAAGATCACTCATCATAGATCACCATAGCAGATATAGTAATAGTAAAAAAGTTTGAAATATTATGAGAATTACCAAATGTGACAGAGACACAAAATGAGTACATGCCATTGGAAAAATGGCGATAGACTTTGCTCAGCACAGGGTAGCCACAGACCTTCAATTTGTACAAAGCACAATATCTGGAAAGTGCAATAAAGCAAAGTGCAATACAACAAGGTATTTCTGTAGTTGTTATATTGTGTTGTTCAGGGAATATTGACAAGAAAAAGTTCTGTACATGTTCAATACAAATGCAATTATCCATTTTTTCCCAATATTTTTCATCCATGGTTGGTTGAATCTATGGATGCAGAGGGCTGACTGAAAATGCATTCCAGTCTCTAGTGACAGACCCATCTATTTTTTTCTGATTATTTTAATAAATCATTTTGGCAGATTTCCTGATAATTGCCCCTCTGCAGGCCTCCAACCTCCATGGTCAATCTTACTCATAAACACAGATGCAAAATATGCAAACAAAAAAGCAAATGGAATTCACAATGCACAAAATGACATATCTCAAAAATGCAAACTTGGCTTAAGATTAAAGTTTTATGTAAATGCAATGTGATTCTAAACAAAATCATAACAAGTTTTATTTCTGGAACTTGACAAACTGATATTTATATGCCCAAGAAAAGTCCAAATACCTGTAAAGGACAAATTGGATGCATATGCTTTATCAAATAGTAGCCTGTGTTGGGTATACAGCTGTAGTAATTATGTCAGTGTGGCACATGGAAGAACAAGTTGATGAATGGAATAAAATAGACAGTTCACAATAGTGTTATTCATGCATGGCAACTTGATTTATTTTAGTATTACAGATTAATGGTAAAGGATGGGTTTTTCAATAAGCACTGTTGGCATAATTAATTATCTAGATGGAAAAGATGACATTGGACCTCTATGTCATATCATATTTTAAAAATTCAATCCTATAATTATATAACAAATGGAGAAGGTGAATTTTCAGGGCCAGAAGACAACTACAGGTGTAGATAGTTGATTTCTTCTAAGGAATATGGTTGCAATTTACAGGTCGTTCTCATAGGGACTCTGGAGGTTAGGACAGTGCCTTAGACTAATGAGATACTCAGGTGGAAAACTCAGAAATGAAAATAGAATCATAGCAACTGAGACCCAAGAAGAGAAATAACTCAGAAAGGAAATGTTAATCATAACGATGGTCTAAGTTCTTTGAAGAACCAGCAGATTTGGACTCAGATAGTGATACTGTTCTCTATGCAGCTAGGCTTTAGATATTCATAGGGAAATTCTAGGTGCTCATTTCGGGCCACAATGTCCTTTTCCAGGTTGTCCAGATCTGTTTGAAACTGTCTTAGCACAGCTTTGGGTTCTGGGCCTTGGAAATATTCTTCTTTGTGATGTCCCAGGGGCACCTGAGACAGAAAGAAAGGATGAATTAGTACCTAGTTCCAAGACACAGAGACCCAGAATACAGTTCTTCACTGATGTCTTCTTTCTAGTTTCAGAGACTCCCCTCTCACCATGTCCAACTGTTTCCGGCTCAGGACCCATGTGACAGTCATTTGAAGACAGGTCTGCCAGGCATCAGGTAGTATTTTCATCACCGTGGCCATCGTCACATCTTCCTTGGTGGTGGGTGGGGGCATCCGCATTGAGCATGGGCCATTAGGGATCCAGGCATACCAGTCGAATTGGCAGAAGAGAAATCTGAATTCACCCTGAACTCTGATTTGGGAACACTAGCTCCCAACTGTCTCCTTCAAGCACCCCCTGGCCCAGACAGCTGCTCTAAGGGACCCAGGTTTTCAGTTGTCCATACCTGGCCTTGGTTGATAGCTGCATGTTGAGCAGTGCATGTGAAGATACACATGGTGAGGAAGTGACAGAGCTGAGCCCGAGACTGGAAGGAGTCAGGGAAACCTGGGAGAACAAAGCCCCAGAGGTAATAAAAGCATAAATGATGATATCTTGGAATGTCCATGCCTTAGAATTAAGGAGTGTTCATGTATTTATTGATAAAGTGTAGAATTACTATATGCCAAGCACTCTCTCGTCAGTGAGGATACGTTGATAGACAAAACTGACAAAAGTCCCTACCCTCTAATAATTTAGATCCTAGTAGGGATGAAACATGATACATAGAATAATTAAGTAAAATTACACACAGTATATTAATGATAGGAGTATGTTAGTGATAAGAGTAGAAATAAAGCAGGACAGGAGATATGAATAGTCAGAGAGAGATGGCTGATAATTTAGTTAAGACTCCAGAAAAAGCCTCAGTGACAATTGTCTATGAGACAGGGAGTAATATGGCCAGGAGCACAGGCTGTAGTATCAGCCCTGGGTACAGTCCTGGCTCTGCTGCTGACCAGCTGCATCACCTTGGAACAATTGCCTAGCATCTCTGTGCCTCACTATTTTTCTCTGAAAATGGGGATAGTAGTTACCCTATAAATTAGATGATCCATGTAAAGCCCCTAAGTACATTGCAGATATGATTATTATGGTAGGATTTAGACTGTAAGGAGTTCTGAAGACTGTGTGGTCAAACATCTGTTTTCTAAAAGTTTTTTAAAAAATCACAGGAGAAGGGCAGACAACCCAAAAGAAAAACAAGTAAAATAATTTAATAGGCATTCCACAAAGGAGGATGGCTATTAAACCAAAGAAAAGGTACTCCGCTCAACTATTCACTGGGGAATTGCAACTTAAACTCAAAAGTGATAGCACTACATACCTACCAATATGGCTGAATTAAAGAAGATAGATGTATCTTTTCATATATTTGAGAGAATGTGGAGCGACTGTAACTTATACTTTGCTGGACGGAGTAGAAATTGGTATAATCATTTTGGGATTGTCAATAATTACTAATGCTGAACACACCCTCTGATCCATCAATTTTACCCCTACATATTAACTAACAGAACTACACACACAACAATATTCAATACAACACTAACACTGATGGCTTCCAACTGGAAACAGTTCAAAAAGCCATCCCAATAACAGAAATAAAATATATTGTGCCATATTCACATAATGGGATACTTTACAACAAGGAAAATGATGATGTTGCTACACGCAACGCCACAGAGAAATCTCAAACATATTGTTCAGAGAATAAAGCCAGACACAAGTGAGTGTGTGTTTGTATTTCCATTTATGGAAAATATTTATGCTCCAAACAGGTAAAACTAACCAATTCTGTTAGAAGACAGGATAGAGATTACCCTTGGATTGGTAAAGATTGGAAAAAAATGGAAGGAGCTTTCTGGGAAGCTGGTCATGTTCTGTTCTTTGATGTTAATGCTAATTTTACAGATATGTAACCTTACTAAAAATTCATTTGTCCATTTTTAATTTATAATATTAAATTTTCTCTTGGTGTGCTTTATTTCATTAATATTTCCACCCTCTCCCAAAGTGGTTAAGAATACAAAAGCATGTCCTCCTAGGCCTAGACAGTGGTGTCTGGTATCTGGGTTATAATGCAGGGAAATAGAGATGTAATAGACTCATTTCAGAGCTCAAAAGGAGTCAAATCAACTATCCCATTCTACTTAATTTACTGGTGAGACAGGACTCAACAAGTTTAAGCATCCGTCCAAGGCTCTCTAACACATAGCAGGCCTGGGCTCACCTGTTCTATTTGCTGATCATACCAAGGAGGTAATTTTTGTGACTGGGGCATGTGAATTGTATACTAATTGTCATCTATATGTTGCAACACTATCTCATTCATTATTATATTTGGGACAAGTATTATATTCACTTTAAAGATAAAGATAACAAAATTCAGGGACATTAAATGGCTTGCTCAAGGTCATACATCTGGATTTTTAAAAAAAATTTAGCACACAGCCTTTGCTGAGGTGATGAAAAGGTAACACTGAACCTGCTTGAGGGGATCTTGAGAGATTAAAGCTTATTTGTAAATATGTATTGTAGATGCTGTAATGTAAATATTTTATAAGAAGAAGCAAGAGAGAGTAAGAAGGGTCTTGTGGAGCCCAGGGAAGAAAACTGAAAAGTACTGTGGAAATTTGGATCCTGGAAGGGCTGATGGGGTGGTGTGGGGTGGGTGAGGAGGCACAGCTCCATGTTCGTTAAGGTGAGGTTCCACTCCAGGGTAAGAGCCTTGGTTCCTGATTTGTACATACCCAGGGTTTGGCTACAATGTCTCCAAGTGAATGCTTCTAGTTATCCTACAGAGGCAGAGATTGGGATTCAACGTGCAGCTCTGAAATGTGAATAATCAGGGGCTGAAGGACAATTTGAAACGGTCCAAGCAAGGCCATGTGTGATAGAAAAATGTGAACCTGGGAGGAGCTCGAGAAAGGCTATTTCTTCTTCACAGATTAGAATGTGGGGCAGGGGGAGTAAAATTAATGGCTAGGTCCCAGTGAGGAGGGCAGTTTGGTCAAAGAAATGTGAGCCTCAAGGATCAGGGCCCTGAGTTCAGACTGGAGCCAAAACATGTACAGTATTGAGTTTGCATCTAGAAATTACCTTGCCCTATGGTAAGTGTGCAATAGGCTTGGATCCTCCATGTCTGGTTAACCATAGCAGGTAGGAGAAGAAAAAGAAGAAAAAGCTAGGGTAGATCATCACGAGTTTCAGTAGAAAAAATCTTCCCCCAAAATATTTGCCAGCTGCATATCTAACAAAGGCCTAACATCCAGAATTTAAAAGGAGCTCAAACATGCCAAAAGGAAATAAGAAAACAGCCCCGTTAAAAAGTGAGCAAAAGACATGAATAGATGCTTCTCAAAAGAAAACATACGAGTGGCCAACAGACACATGAAAAAATACTCAGCCTCACTAATCATCAGAGAAATGGAAATAAAAACCACATTGAGATACCAGCTAACTCCAGTAAGAATGGCCATCATTAAAAAAACAAACAACTGTTGTTGGCAAGGATGTGGAGAAAAAGGAACGCTTCTACACTGCTGGTGGGAATGCAAACTAGTGCAACCTCTTTGGAAGACAGTGTGGCGATTTCTGAAGGAACTAGAAATTGACTTTCCATATGACCCAGCAATTCCCCTATTGGGAATATACCCAGAGGAACTAAAATCATTCTACAAAAAAGATATCTGCACACGCATGTTTGTTGCAGTTCTATTCACAATAGCAGAAACATGGAACCAACCATGCTGCCCATCGAAGCTGACCTGGATTAAAAAAATGTGGTACATATACACAATGGAATATTATGCAGCCATAAAGAAAGACAAACATATGGACTTCGCAGCAACTTGGATGGATTTAGAGTCAATCATACTCAGCAATCTATCACAGAAACAAAAAACAGAGTACCATATGTTCTCACTCATAAGCAGACCTTGAACAATTATCATAATACTTTGAGAAAGGGATTGGCAGTAGTGGGAAGCTGCCAGGAGGGGTGGGGTGGGATTGGCAGTTGAGGGAAATTGCCAGGGGAGGGAGGGGCACACCTCATCAACAAGGGTACCTGCAAAATGAATATTTGTATACCTAACCCTGAATTGTACCCCACATCTTTAAAATAAAAAATTCAAAAAAATAAAACCACATTGAGATACCATCTAACTCCATTAAGAATGGTTATCATTAATAAAACAAACAATATCAGATGTTGGCAAAGATGAGGAGAAAAGTGAACATTTCTACACTGTTGGGGGGGATGCAAACTAGTTCAACCTCTATGGAAAACAGTGTGACAATTCCTAAAAGAACTAGAAATTGACCTTCCATATGATCCAGTAATCCCCCTTCTGGGAATATACCCAGAGGAACTTAAGTCACTCTACAGAAAAGATACCTGCGCACACGTGTTTATTGCAGCACTGTTCACGATAGCAAAAACATGGAATCAACTGTGCTGCCCATCAAAACTGGACTGGCTGGGCTCGGTGGCTCAGCCTGTAATCCCAGCGCTTTGGGAGGCTGAGGTGAGTGGATTGCCTGAGCCCGCGGGTTCGAGACCCACCTGGGCAACTTGGCGAGACCTCATCTCTACAATAAATCAAAAATCAGCCGGGCGTGATAGTACACGCCTGTAGTTCCAGCTACTTGGAAGGCTGAGGCGGAAGGATCACCGGAGCCCAGCAGGTCGAGGCTGTGGTGGCCGGGAGCATGCCACTGCACTCCAGTCTGGGTGACAGAGTGAGACTCCAACTCAAAAAAAAAAAAAAAGAAACAGAGAACTGAGTACCACATGTTCTCACTCATAAGCAGACCCTAAACATTTACCATAATATCATAAGAAAGGGATTGGCAGTAGTGGGACCCTGGCCAGGGGAGGAAGGCAGGACATATAATACCAATAAGGGTACCTGATATCAAACAAGGTAAAGTAGGGACCGAAGGGGAATGATAACCACTTGTATACCTGAATCTGAATTGTACCCCACATTTTTAAAACAAAAAAAAATTTAAATAAATAAATTACTATAAAAGAAGAAAAATCTTCCCATTTATAGTTTTAGATAGTGAGGTAGTGATCTATTAAGAAAAAGCATTAGCCATAGTAGATACTGGAAAAACCCCTCACTGATTGTGTTTCTGGCCTGTTTGGTCCATGATATGGCAGGTTAGGGGCATCTGTAACTAGGGGTGGGGTGGGAGTAGGAGTTGATGACCGGGTCTCTGAGGAGGATAATCCCTGAGAATCTAGTATTGTCCTAAATCTTACGAGATGTGAATGGGATTTAGATGATTTTCTGTGTGAAGGGAGGGGTGTGTTGAAGGGTTGGGGTTCCATCCCCAGAAAGGCAGTGTTGGGAAGGAGCTCTGGCAGAGACTCCCAGGAACTCTTGTCTCTGGGATGGGTCTTACCTCGTTCCTGGGCCTGACACAGCCCCACCTCTGTGATCTCCCGACACCAGGCCTGCAGCTCAGGGTCCCCCGTCACAACATCATCTTTTTGGTAAAAGAGGTGGACGATCCCCTCCACATACCTGCCCAGAGAATGGAGTTGAGCCTCTAAGAGTAGAAGGCTCCAGCCTCAAGCCTCTACTCCTCTTTCTGGGGCATCTGTCCAATGCTTCTACTATATCTGGGCAGAGACCTCACAAGACTTGCCTTTGGGACATCCCCTCTTGTCTGTACAGAAGATTTGGAGCAGTAGTCCTATGAATCCCTTTTTCACAGTTGCTGGCCATTCTTTTTCACAAAAAACCTGATTTTCCCAGACCCCTCAGTCTTCCCATCCACAGCTCTCCTGACCCTCATTCTCTGCATCCCAGTCTTTAGTTTTCAGAGCCTCCTTATAGTCCCCTCACTCTGTCTCATCTTTCCCCAGAATTTTCTTGCTCCTCCTGTCTGGATCTCCTCATTTTCACTTTGCTTTTGCCCCATGCTGACCTCAAGCCAGAGTCCCCGCCTCTATACTTCTCATCTCCCTCTACTCTCACCCACCGGGCAATGATCTCCCAGAGCCGTAGAGCATCGTGGGCATAGAGAGCACTTGGGATTCCCACCAGGCCCCGCTCAGCTAGGTCGTCAGGAGGATAGAGGGAGCAGTAGGTCAGCTGAGTCACTGCCCGACGGAGCAACTGCATGTGGCCCCCTCCACCTGTGTTTGCTGCCTGAGACAAATGAGATGATAAGTCTTGAGGGAAGAAACAGGGCTGGAGAACTTTGCCATACTACATAAAGGGTTCAGATTTAAAGACATGGGTATAAAAGGGAGAGAAGTTCATGGGTTAAGAGTCAGGACACCACTCATAGTTGGCCTTGAATCCTGAAAGTGGCAGAAGGTCATAGAGAGATGGATAGGGCAGTTCCTCACTCCATTCCCTCCTTACCATATCAAATAGTCCTCCATCTGAGATAAGTGTGGCTCGAGCTCGGGTGTTGATTTCCATGGTGTAGCGGATATGAGGGATCAGGAGCTGAGGAAGAGGGGATGGTTAGTGAAGGCCATGCTTGGTCCTTACTTGTAGGGCCTGGCACCCAGCACGGTGCCTTCTCTCCTCTCGGTGCTTTCCTCCCTGCTGCTGCCTTGATGCGCTGGTCTTCTGCTTCTCTGATCACTCACTCTCATGCTCTCCAAATTCCCTGTGAGCTTTGGTGCTAGTCTGACCAGGAATTCAACCTACACTTTAGCACTCACTTAGATAATTGACCAAGTTAATAATCCTGTAATCTACAATCTCCTCATCTGCCAACAGAGGACAATAATACGACCGCTTATCCAAGGTGCTGTGGTGAGGTTCGTGTGAAGGATGTATGGAGACTTCAGAACACTGCCTGGCACTCACCATGAGTGTAGGTGTCCTTTAAAATCAGTCCCTACACTTTGATTTTCAAAAACTCTTCCTCTATTACAAAAATTAAAACTAGCCTTTCTACTTATTTTCAAGGCTGTACCTCCAACCTCTAGTTATTTTACTCTTGCAATTTATTTTATTTCAAGGCTGGTAGTTAGGGGTAGGTAAGGTACCTTCAGTCAGAATTAGAGGTGCCATATTTGTCTACCTGCTTTGTCACTTGAGGGGCTGTTGTCAAATCTGCTCCCACCCCAATTAAGCGCTGTTGGCCCCCCTCTCTCTTGCTTTCCCCTGGCTGTTAAAAAAAGGCCACTCATGGCCGGGATTGGTGGCTCAGCCTGTAATCCCAGCACTTTGGGAGACCGAGGTGAGTGGATTGCCTGAGCCCACGGGTTTGAGACCCACCTGGGCAACTTGGTGAGACCTCATCTCTACAATAAATCAAAAAAGTTAGCCAGGCGTGGTAGCACACCTGTAGTTCCAGCTACTTGGAAGGCTGAGGCTGAAGGATCGCTAGAGCCCAGCAGGTTGAGGCGACTGAGACTCCAACTCAAAAAAAAAAAAAAAAAGTCCACGCAGTCCTCACATGCATTTTCTTTGTTAGACTATTTTGTTTTTATTTAATCTCAGTTGATATGCAGAAGTCATGTAATTTTGGTGTTTATATGAGTTGTTGATGCTGGACAGAGACAAGGACCCAAATGATACCCCTCGCATTGGTCTGAAACTTCTCAAAATTCACGGAAAGATGCCGAGTGTCTTAGAAAGACCAAAGTCCACATGAAGAGAGAAGATACCAGAGAACAAACAACTTCTAATAATAATAGCAAGAACTAGTTATGGCATTTCACCAGTGTCACATTGTTCTATCATTTAATCCTTCAACATCTCCAAAATGAATGCCCTGTTATCTCCTTTTAGAGAGGAGGTTCCTGAGGCATACATCTGGTATGTCCTGAGGCCAGAATTCAGACCCTGGCAGCCTGTATCAAGAGTCCATACAAGTGGTCTTGTGACATCTACAGCCTTAGCCTCCTGTGTGTCCTGATAACAACTCAGCTGTTTGTCATGGGAGGAAATGGTTATGGTAGGGGAGATGGATGCAGAGGAGGCTGAATTAGTAAAGGGAGATCTTGAGGTGTGATAGTGAACTTAAACTATTCAACCTAGGCAGAAGATGGTGATGCAAAGACATCATGAGGTTAAAAAAAAATTTATGAACTGTTTTAGTGTCTACCCTGTACGTGCTACCCAGAACCTAAGGGGCCACTGCTAATAATGGATAGGCTTGGGGCAGGTGTGTGGGTCTCCAGCAGAAACATAGTTCAGATGTTCTGCCTGCTAAGTACTCACATATCTTGCTAACATTTCTAACCCCATGTACCTAGTACTGAACACCTTTTCCTTGACCCAAAATTGACTTCTAACTTTGTTTCTGACAGTTTCTCTGGTTCATAAGCTTGTATTATTTTTACTCCTTCTGCTATATCTAAGACGTCATAAAAATTTTCAGAACATTTTTAAGTGAGCATGAGTCTTCTTTTGCTTCATTCTGTCTAGCCATAGATACTGAATTCACAGTTTATAAAATTACAGTATTTCTAGATGAGTACAATAGCACCCATCTGTGGGCTTCTAGGTGTTGCAGCAGGAGTTTTCTCTCCAATCTTGCACCCAGGCATGCTGCAACTACTGTTTCCTCCCACCAAAAGTTTTTACATTTTCCCTTCCATTCCTGGAACCACATTACTCATGCGTATTCTTTATTCATCTCTGTCTTTGGCAGATTAAGTAATCTCTGGACTACTCTCTTTGTCTTTCTATCTTCGACATGAAGAATCCTCAGCTGTGGTGGAACATTCTTTATCAACACTATGGTGTTTATTGCTCTTACTCATATTCTCATTCTCTCTCTCTCTCTCTCTCTCTCTCTCTCTCTCTCTCTCTATTTCAAATGCTAATTCCAGATGTTGCCCTCTGGTGCATCTCATGTATACTATTTGTCTTCTCAGTTAAAGGGTAAATTTCCTAAAGCAAAAGCAATACTTTAGCTTAACAAATTATATTCCTACTCTCTTCTAGAGAGTTGCCTTACAATATGTGTTGAATAAATGCTGAATGACTTGACTTAATAGGATAGACGGGATCTCTCTGTATTACTTTTTAAAACTGCATGTGGCTCTATAACCTGTTCTCACTCCTCTATTCACAGATTGCTATAAAAATTCTTTGCTACAATGCCATATGAATTCATGTTGAGTACAGAGCATCGTTGTTTAAGGTTCTCATCCTGAAGACATAGGCTCTTTAAGTCCTAGAAAACTGTCAGATTTTTCCTTTCTTTGAGGTATGGGTAATGAGACATGGAGGGTAGAAGATGTACCTTAAAGATGGGGTGCAGCCCTGGGAGGCACCTCATAGTAGCAACAGCGATGACTTCACCCAGCAGATGAGTGTTCAGCAAATGATACTGGAGCTCATGCAGCTGGAAATCGGAATTTCGGACCCAGGTTTTTGCCAGAAGCCAGACAAGTGGAGGATCTGAGGGCAGGAACAGTGTTGGGTTGGGAGAGCTGGAGCTGGGCGGCTGGAGCTAGATGAAAGAGGAATTATGCATTTATTGGCTTCTTGCCATATGGACAGCACTATGCTCAACATTCTGAGAAAAAAAAGAGATGACTAGCACGAAAGTATTGCCTTTCAGGAGGTTATAATGTACAGGAGGAATGAAGACGCTTCAATTCTGTCTCTCACTAACTCTGGTGCCATGCAAGTACCATGATGGTTGGGTTGGGTATGGGAGATACTAGAATCAGGGAGTCCAGTATGGACGTCCTAACACTGGTTTTGGAGAAATGTAATGGGGGTCAGAGCTAGGTTCTGGAATGGGAAGGAAAAAGTGAAAGTGAGAAATTGACAGTATCTGTCAACTACTGTTTAGGTGTAAAGTAAGAGTGAAAAATCATTAACACCAAGGGAGAACAGATGTTTAAGAAAGAAGGGATGGTCAACAGATTAAAAAGCATCAAAGAGGTTGAGTAGCCTGGGGATTAGAATCAAAAGAGGCCATTGTGACTCTAAAAATATATTACCAAGGTAAAGAATGACAAGGAATGATTGGAGACAAAGACAGGTCTCAGTAAGTGAGGTAGAGATCAAGGCCAGAGTCAGGGGTCCCTGTCCCTGGACAGAGGGTGAGGTGTACTGAGAACAGTATTAAAGGCAGCTGTCCAGGGCACTTACCTGGATGACCGTGGGTAGCAGCTTCCCACTGGGGTCCATCTTCAGCATGACAAGGGGGGCAGCCATATATAGCTTCTCTCCTTGGATCACGTTTCCTGGTATTCCATCCAGGAGGATGAAGTCAGCCTTAAACAGAGAGCCACTCTGGGGAAAGAAAGAATGTATCCACGGTTAGAATTCAGATTCCACCGCCAAAGGCCTAGGGCAAAAGAGAAGAAACGTAAAGCCATTCAGTCTAGTTTCTTGGCATTATCTCACATCAGCAGAGCCCAAGTGGCAGGGCTGAAGAAAGCACCCAGAGCACCAGGACTAATTCCTCTCTTTTTAAAGTGAGAAATAAGGACCAATGGAGCAGCCTTCCACAGGGACATGGAGCTGGTTTATGGAAGAGGTAGTTTGAGGACAAGGCTTCTCAGTCCATTGTGCACCACAGATATGCTAAGCTCTATTCTTATCAAGATATGCAGGTCCTCTTCCTAAACATCTCCTAATGGCCTACTCCCTCATTTGGTTGCCTTGGGTTTATTTTTCCCTACATACTTCATGGTTTCTAGATTTTTCTAGCAGAAAACTCTGCACTAAGGGGAGCCTCCTTTCTCATGCACTCATCTTTGGTTCCTTCCCTTGACCATGTCTCCTTGCCACACTGCCAAGGAAAGGACAACCAATGGACAACAAATAGCAGGAAGTACCTGGAGTTCTTTCTCTAACTGGGCCCGAAGCTCCTCTGTCCCCGAGGGCAGCACCAGCCTGGAGGGCAGAGAGGTGGAGCGTCTCAACAGCATGGGGTTGGCGCCATTGAGGAACTGGTAGCCAAAAAGCTCATCATCCTGCCAGCACTGGTGAACCTTTTCTGGGGTTGGGTGGTATAGAAGAAACATATTTACCTGAATATCTCCCTCCTCCAGACTCTACCCCAGGGATTTGACTACCCTGTACCCAGCCTCTTCCTTTTCATTCCTGAGGCCTCTATGAGATCCACCAGGCATGTTTTCATTTAGCAGAATCCCCTAGTGCGCCAAATGAGATATCAAAAGGGACCATTAAAGGGTTATGGAGTCTTAGGAAAGTCACTCACCAGCCAGGGCTCCCTTGTGACTCCAGAAGATTTGATTAAAATCTTCCAGGTTGTTCAAGGATTTCATAAAGGTGTAAGCACGTTTGAAGACAATTTTCAGAGCCCTAGGACAAGTATTGAGGATAAAACCAACTTATCAAATCCCACTAGTTGTAGATCCACAAACCCTCACTCTACTCTCACCATTTACTTACCCTGCCTTCACTGTCCATTCAAAGTCCTGTCTCTTCTCCTCATGGAATCTCATATTTAAAGGCAGATCATCCTTACACTCTGCAGCTATTGTCAGGGGTAACCCTTCTGTCCAGGTGGCCCAGCTACAAGTTGCAGACAAGTTTTCAGGGTAGTTGTTGAGGTTAATTATGGGGACGGGGTCAGGGAAGGGATGGGACAATTGGGAGGTCTAGGGATGGGTGGTCACCGGTAGATCTGCTGTCTGTCCTTCAGCTCCTTCTCTCGATGCTTTTGAAATGGATCCAAGGCATTGTCTCCTGCCAGGCGGGCTGGGGAAACATTAAGCAGCGACCACACTGCTGTATCCAATCTCACGCTACTCCCTGGTTTGTTCCAATCTCTCATTTCTTAATTGTGTTGCATTATACCATTTTCCCCTTTTCTCTATCTCAGTCTTTTCTGATTAAGTCCCTGGTCATTTATTCAATCTTTTCCCTCCCCCACCTCCCCACCTTTTCTTGATTTCATACATCTCAGTCTTTATATTTTTCCTGAGATAAAAATTCCATATTTGTCACCCTTTCCTCACTCTCATTTCAGATTTTCTTAATTGTCCCTATTCTTCACTAATTATGCATTTTCCTCTTAATCACCTGCCACGTCCACACCTAGCCTACGTTATCACCTATTGTTTTTGTTACTTTCACCTCTCCTGTCCACACCTTCAACCGTTCTCCATATTTCATGTTAGGTACACTTACATTCCCAGGTCTTCACTACCTCCACCCTAATCTGTTTCCTAAGATAAGAAATTCTGTGTGCCACCCTCAGTCTGCAATCTTGCCTGTCCTAGAAGCAAACCTTTATCTGGCTCCACCTCACCTGGCCTCAGCATCATATCATTTATATGTGTTAACCAGACTTGTTCCTATTCTCACCTGAACTTATATCCGCTTGTCCCTCAAAGGCACATATTTTGTGTCCATTCTTACCTGCCCTTGCCCTCAATGTCTCTCTTACTACCTACTTAAGGTAACAAAATCTATATTTGCTGCTTTACCCGGTCAGTGTGCTCCCTGCCCCTCACAGGTTTTTCCAGCCAGACAAGCTCCCCAAGCACTAAGTTCCATCCGTGTCCCTTGGCTGCCTCCTGCTCGTGGGTTACCCTCCATCCCCTGTTCTATGTGGTCCCCTCTCTTGCCTTGTCCGGACTTGTTCTCAGTCACACAGAGAGATCTCCTTTCTACCTTCACTTTGTCTCTTCTGTTCCCCATGAATGTTGCTCCAATTTTCTGTCCTCGCCTTTTTGGAAGACAGGATCTTTTTTTAAATATAAAAATGTGGGGTACAGTTCAGGGTTAGGTAAGAAGACGGGATCTTAAGGTCAGTTATTTTCCTGTTTCTAGTCTCATTGACAACTTTTAAATTCTGTGTATAACTTGCAAACCTCCTAACTTTTTTCCTATCTCATGCATCTTGCGTTCTCCAAGCTTAACCTGCCCTGTGCCCATCCTTTCTCTGCGCCCCTCCGACCTTTCTCAGCCCTACCCCACTCCCACCGAGTAGTCCTCGCGCCCCCTTCCCCGGCGCTGCCCGCTCACCGGTGCCCTCGGGCAGGCTCAGGACGCCGTTGCCCTGCACCCAGCGGTAGCACGGGAAGGCGGCCTCCGCGCAGGCTCCAGGGCCCCGCACCGTGATGCGGTCGCAGAACCACGCGTCGTCCACCAGCGAGCGCAACTTCACGAACTGCAGGGGCCCCAAGTCCTCGGCCACGTCCGCATCAAACTCCTCCTCCTGTGGGGCCAGAACAGGCCAGACTTAATAGGAAGGACCCAGGAGAGGGCATTATGCTCGAGGTTGAGCGGAGGGGTGTCAGTGGTGGGGTGGCGAAGAGGTGCGGGGTCCTCGGTGTCGCCTCAGTGTGCCAAGGCCTCCGAAGACAGCATCGCCTCGTTCCCTTCCCCACACAACCTTTCTGGTGGATCTTAGATGCCCCATGTCAGGTGGAAGACGAGGGAACGCGGAGCCCGGCCCGCAGTGACTTGAGTTGACCATGAGTATGGTTGCCTATATGGGTCCCACTAACTGCGCCGCAGGAGGAGCTTCAGGTCTGACCATTTGTTTTACGTTTACACTGACGCTGGGTGACTTTGGGGAAGGAGTGGAAGGCTGCCAGGACCAGGGTCGAGGGAAGGGAGAGTTCAAGCTATCTCCACCACCCCCACCACTCCGACCCCCATCTACCCCTCTACCCCGCCCCACACACACACCGTCCCCATCCCCAGTGTCCCAACTCTGTGGAAGACCCAGTTTGCGCGGTCACCTGGCCCCCAGCCTCTGATGCTCGGGAACCTCCCGCAGCCGACCTGCCCTCCAGCTTCTAGCCCAGCCAGGTCCCGGAGCCCAGGGTCTCGGTTTCCCCTGCTGACTTCGCCCCGCGCCAGCCTCAGCTGCAGCTGCAGCTCCGCCTCTCCGCGCGCCCCGACCAGCCACAGCTGCACGTGGTTGTGCGACCCGGAGAAGAGCCAGGCCCCGGTGGCCACACGGATGCGGTAGCGGCCCATACCCGCGTCTGCTTCTCTAGACAGCGTCTGGTCTGTTAATGATTCTGGAGAACGCCTGGCGCCCGGCTCCTGTCGCGTTGCCTGCAAGACCACTCCTGGGCTTAATAACTCAGCGCTCTGCGTGTCTGCCCAGTACGTGATTCAGGGCATTCCTGGGTCCCCACCCCAGACACGCCCGAACTTGAGCTACCCCCGTGTAGCCAAAGACTGCTTCTCTCAGCGAAGAGCTTGAGAAGTTGAGCTTTGAGGAAGGTGAGAGGCCAGGTAGGGGCTTAGGAAGGGAGGGGATGAAAGTACAATGCACATTCATCAGGGTTCCTTTCCAAGGCCTCTCATCTTCTCCCATCCGTTTTGCTCAGGAGAGGCACAGGCTGAAAGGGTCGTGGTGCCCATCCCTTTTTGTTCCAGCCTCCTTCCTCTACACACCTTCTCTTCATCTACCAGAGTTGCCTGCTGAAGGGGCATTGGGATTGCCCTTGTGGGCCAAAAAGGGCCCCCTTTTGAGGAACACTCAAGAGTTCAGGGATGAGTTCACTTTAATATGATTTTCTATCTTCATCCTCTTGGAATATGGCTAATAAATCCCTTTCCTTTCTTCTGCTTCCATTTGCAACATGTCTTCCTCACCCATTACAAGAGAGACAACCAGTGTCACCAGTCTTGCATGCTCCTGTTCGTGGAATTGTTTCTATACAGGATAGTTTTGGTCATTTCTTCTAGAAAATTGGGTCACATGAACATTTTTTCCCTGGAACTTGTTTTCCATGGTTAACAACACATGATGGGAATATCTTTTTAAAAATTTTTTTATATTAAAGATGTGGGGGTACAATTCAGGGTTAGGTATACAAATGTTCATTATGCAGGTGCCCTTGTTGATGAGAGGAGTATCTTCAGATCAATAGATAAAGATCAAACTATTCTGTATATCAGCTTTAAGGATTCCCCTCTTGATGGTTGTTTAGGTTGTTACCAGTAGTTTCAACTATGATGAGTGCTCTAATGAACACCTTGCATGTATACTCTTTTATACAGGAACTTTTATGTTTCTAGAACAGATCTCCAGAAATGAGATTTCTAAGTGAAATGATATGTATATATTTTATATTAGATATCATCAAATTGCTTTCCGAAAGACTGTAGCTTAGTGTCAGTGTGCTCTTTTCTCTGCATCCTTACCAGCACAGAGAGTTCTCACTTTTTAATTTTTGCCAGTTGAGTGGGTGAAGTTTCAATGCAGTTTTAGACTGTGAGGGGTCTGGAATTTTGCCTTGCTTAAAACATAGCCAGCTAGCCTATTACTATTTGAGGGATGCTGGCAGACAACACAAGACTCGTAGTTCAGAGATAAAGGCCATTATTGCTCAAAGAAAGAGCAATAGACAGAACTTCATATGCCTATTGTTTCTGCATGTCCTCTCAAGCCCCATGAGTGTGATGCAGGAGGGTCTAAGTGGATGACAGCACCTACAGTGGGTTGCATTACAGCAGAGAACCACTGTGTTTGGAGGACTCACCACTTTTATAGTAAGCAGATTCAAGTCCATTCTTTGTCTCTGAGAAACATTACCTCACCTCTCATGGTTGCTCCTTGCAAAAAAAAAAAAAAACCCTGAGAAATAATCCTAGTACAGAACAGTCACAGACTTGTATTCCTGGCATATGCAACAATAATACTTATAGGCACTCAGACTCATGGCAAATCTATCCCCCCACCAAATAAAAAGAAATATCTTAAAACTTCTAGTAACTACCTATTGGCTATAAAGTAACACCTAGATTCTTCACCTACTTGTGGTGTGCCACAGCTAAACCTGCTCTGAGCATAGTGATAAAAAAATAAGTAGAAAAGGAAAGTATGTAACTGTGACCTTGCAAGAATTTCTGTACATATTAATAAGGTGAGTCCCTGAGTGCTGACAGAGAACGCCCTATGCTAATTCCATTAATCTAATGCTACAGAAGCAAGCCTATTATTTCAGGCTTTTCTGCCCTGACAGATCTTGACTATGCAAGAATACAAAGATGACTGACTATCCAGCAAGGCTCCAAAAGAAAATGAATCAACATTAAATTGCAGCTATTCTACTCTACCATGTCTATGCATAAACTTTTGTACATCTTTTACACCCTATACTTGCTGATTCAGAAAAATAAAAACAAGTATTAGAGCAACCTTATGCCAGTTTTTATTCAACAGTCTTACCAGTTTCCAATTCAAATATCTTTAGGTAAAATTTCACTTAGAAATATTCCAGCTAACAAATGAAGTAGGAATGATGGACTCAGAATATCAACAGGTTGTAATTGTTGATAAAATAGTAAATACAAGAAATGATTATCTATGATGGCTAAATTCACAAAAAAAGAGAATACCTTGTTTGTTTTGATGGAAATATTAGCACCACCTATGAAGTCACTTTGCCATGAAAAATCATTGGCAATTTTCACCAAATTAATAGCTATAACTACCAAATTATGGAAACAGAGGATAAAGAAACATGTTAAATAACACCTAAGGGAAATAACCAGCAAAATCCAGAATGGGAGACAAACAACCTGGTGTCATTAACTAATAAAGTGCAAGAAACAAAAAGGGAGAGGAAAAGAAGACGTATAGATTGAAAGAGACTTAGGAACCAATTGCAAGATGTGAACCATATGTAGAGAAATATAGGAATTGGGGTTAGCAATTGGCATGAGACTGTTGCTTTTCACTGTAAGTCACTCTTATTATTTGGATTTTTTAACATGGCATGTGATGTAAGAAAAATCACAGAAAAGCAATGAATAAATGAATGTCATACAAGACGCACATTTGGAGGTCATTTTGATGTCTTGAAAATATTCAGTAGAAAAGGGGGCAGAATGTAGCAGGAAGTAAGAGAGAGGAAGGGTTTTTCTTTAGAAGAGATTTGAGAATATTTGGGTGGCAAAGAGCTAATAAATGAAAAATGTTGCTGATGCAAGTTACAGAAGGCATAACTGACGGAGGAACAACATGATGGGAGGGAGGGCGAAACTCAGGTGCTTGTGGACTAACTGGCCTGGGATGGACAGCAAAACTCTTCCTTTGTAACAGAAGGCAAAGGAGAAGGAATAAATGCAGATGAGGGTAAACTGGAAAATTTCGTGTTGGGATATTGAGGAGGTTACCACCTGATAATTCCCATGTTCATCCCACCCCACTTCCTAACCTCTGATACTAGCTTGTACTCTGCTTTTCAGGGACCAAGCAGCACAGTCCCAGAGATGAAACAGAGGGCAGGGTCATACTTTCTCAGACTCTTCTTTCCATCTTGGACAAGCTAAGGTTAAAGGCCAAATGAGATGTTGAGCCCTCCTGAGAGTGCAGAGGGGACAAAGACTCCCTTGTTTCTGAAGTTCTGTCTACATTGTCAAGTTCTACTATTTTTACTTTCATCACCTCTTTTTCTAACATATTGAACTCAGTTTCTCAACCTTCCCTATCACTTGCCCACTTGCCCACTGGTACTAGTTTCTGCTCTTTTCTGATGACCCAAATTTATAAGTTATACCTCCAGGATGCTGTTGCTCATGCAGTCACACAACAGAGTTTTTATGAATGTTGAGGTAATGGAGTGCAGACTTGTGTCATCACATAACACAACAAAGACTATTAACATTTATAGTAAGAAATTCATATTCTTAAATGTTTTATGGCCAACCTGACATTGAAATTTAGCTCTGCTGTCTTTATTCACGGTACTCTTGTTCCTCAACACACACACACACACACACACACACACACACACACAGCCATGTTTCTCAAGCCACTCACTCTCCCTTCTCTTTATTTACTCCTAGCACTCACAATACTGCTCCCTTCCCCATTGCTATTGAAGTTGTTATTGAATACCAAAAATTATTCCCATTTTACTTTACAGGGCAATTCTGTTCTTTTGATCACTTCTAGTAGCTACCTATAGACTATAAAGTAAAACCTAGGTTCTTCACCAAGTTGTGGTGTGCCACAGCTGCACCTGCTCTGGACATAGTGATAAAGAAATAAGTAGAAAAGGGAAGTATGTAACTGTGACCTTGCAAGAATTTCTGTACATATGAATAAGATGAGTACCTGAGTGCTAACAGAGAATGCCCTACGCTAATTCCATTAATCTAATGCTGTAGAAGCAAGCCTATTACTTCAGGCTTTTCTGAGCAGCACAAAATAAAGGCAAAATAAAGACTTTGAATGTCCATTAATAGGATTATTTTTTGCCATAATCTCATCCCTAGCAGTTGTTAGTGGAAGCAAGTAAGGGTTGATTCTCCCATTGATATGATTCAACCCCACCACCATTCTCAAAGAAAAAGTGATTGCATTCAGTTTTCTAGTGGAAGGAAAAAATGAAGTGCATTTCATTTATTCCATTCAAGAATTCGGTGGTATACTAGGTACCATCCTCTACGTAGTCCTGTGCGTGTTGGTTTCTGCCCTTACTTCTCCACTGAAACTTCTAAATCTTCTTGATGACCCAGCAATTCTTAAATCCCAAGGGATTTTCTCAGTGATCATGGGTGTCAAAGTCTTGTGTCTTTTACCTGGGCTGCTAGGAGAGGTCTCTGTTTAGGTTCACTGAGCTCAGGCCATTCTCTGCATTTCTCTTTTGCAGCCCCCGGGCTTAGAGAACAGAAGAAGTACTCATCCACAAACCTACATCTTGAAGCCTCTCCACCCCTTGGCCTGCTTTATTTCCTGTGCTATACTTAACCAATTTCTAGGAGAGTAATATTAAAATAACCAGTGTCTATCACTGTACCATCCAACCTACAATCATGAAATAAATTGGTCTGATGTTAGTATACTCTCCCCAGGGTCTGAACTTTCCCCCTAATTATGCATATATTTTTCAATTAATAAAGAAACAGTAGGATCTTCTTAAATTGGTAAATATAAACCTGATTTGCAATTCTAAATTCTGAGTGCATTCTGTATAGAAGTCAGCATGATACTGACTTACTGCAATTACATTAAA